AAGCACGTCTAAAAAAAGTAATGCTAAATGCAACCAGAGCGCTTTACAAGTAAATGGAACAGTTTAGTTAGAATAAAAAGAGCAGCCATACAAAAATCTATCAAAAGAAAACCAGCTTACAAGTTAAAAAACGGATAACAGCAACTACAGCAATCCCCATGGTATTATTTGCAAGCAGTATAGTAAACTAATGTTAACAATGCACTGAGAGAAATGCTCTCTTGAATTAAAATTATACTATACAGGCATTTAGATTTTTAACTGAAGTTGTAAAAGAACTGAATAGAACTGAAAGAACTGAAGATAATACAGTGTCTTACTCATTAAAGCCACTACACAACTGTGGCACAAACAACATGCTGAAGACTAAAAGATTCACCACATTTCCAGTTTTAAGTTCAGCATAGAAAAATCTGTTTTTTTAAATGTATACCTTAAAATCCATGTTTGGCAACAAACAACTGAGGTAAATGTCATGAAAATGACCTATAGGAAATCCAAGGAAATTTCTATTTAGATTACATTTGTAAGGGAAAAAGAATCAATATTTGTTACACTAATAAACACGTGATGTTTTGTAAAGAGAAAAGCAAATTTATAAAGAGATTTTTGCTCAAGCAAACCCTTCTCTGAGGTGTAGTGTAAACATGATTCTTTAGCCATTATTGCAAATTGCAACATTTCAAAATGAACAATTACATTTAAAAATTGTTCATAAGTGTATTTCATGTGTATACCTGCCAAGAATTGCTCAATACAACAGTTCTGCTATGATTCTATTTTGAAATGAATGTTAAGAATGTTAAGAATTATTCTAATTACATTTTCATTCATTTTTTAAAAAAGGTAATACATTTATTATGAAAAAATGTAAATTGCAGTACATCATCACTTTTTCTTCTCTGAAGAAGAAAGCAAATCATGCACTTTTTATAATATTATATTATTAAGAATGTTTTCCAAAATACTGCCTCAGAGTGTCATTTTTTAAATTTCAAACATGTATTAGAAATTAAAATACATTCCTGCAAACTGTAAGTAATCCGTATTGAGTCTTTCAGTCTAGAAAATAACAAATACACAATGCACAAGTGGCTTCAGTACAAATATTACATACAAATAACTTTATATTTATTACATAAAATGGAAACTGAAAATTAAGCTGAAAAATGTACAGGAATTTTTTTTCCACAACAAACAGATTTCAGGTTTTTTTTTTATGAACTTTAGCAACAATATTACACACACACTCACTTCATAGCTAAGGATGAGATTTTGCTTCTAAAAATCTGCCTTTTATTACTTGTGTTGTCATATAAAAAGGGCCAAGTAATAAAAAGAAACATTACCAATAAGTTATTTTATTTCAACTGAGACTTTAAAATGTGAAAAGAAGTTCTAATATTAGGTCTTTACTACCAGAACAGACTGCTTTTCCTGCTTTTCATAAAAAGCTTTCTATTGAAAAAATTATATTCAAAATACTGTATACTGCACCCACAATAATCAAGCAAAATGTATTCTACCTTTAAAATATTTTGGTGCTACAGAGTGTGTTCACACCTCCCCATCTCTTGTCTTTTAACACAATTGATAACACTTTAGAAATCTTAAAGCCAGATGAAACACAATTTAGTCATTTTGTAACAGGAACTGGTGAGATGATTTAGTGAGTCGATCGTGACTGAACTACAGATTATGCAATACATCAGTCACACACCGGATCAAGCCTGATCAAACCAAAAATATGTTTAAGTTTTTAAAAATTAATTTTGTTTATGACAGTGCAATACTGCCTATAGACTAGTAGATTGATGTAGCAAACTGTTGCAAAGGGTACTACACAGACTGACTAACAAGTTCCATGATAGAAGTCAGACGTTTCAGTCTCAGTTATGCAGTGACTTATCTATACCAGAAGCTCCCCTTTAATGTAAACCACAAAGCAACAATACATCTGATATTGATACTATATCAGGATGGCAGGTTAAAAAAATTAATTAAGAGACATCCGGAAGAACATCATGTTTAATCCAAGTTTATGGATTGACAATGATAAGGATGGCATTGTACAGTAGTTGGTGGGTTATTTTCTGTAACCTAACAACATCCCCCACTGTTATGAAAGACATTTATGATTTAAAGAGAAAACAAAAGCCTAGGTTGGACTTCTGGCCTTTTCAGTATGAGTGTCTTTATAAAGCAGAACTGCTTATGACTCGGTATTTGAAAATCCAAAATATACAATGAAGAAATGCACCCACCTGTTGATAGAAGTACAGCAAAGTGGTTCTGTCCTCCTTAAATTTCTCAATAAAATTATTTGGTATGTAACGGATTCTCAGGTCATATCTGGAACATTGGTAAAAAGAAAACAAAATAACCAAATGATAGACAAGCATGTCAGTAAACTCAACTACTTTCATTGTGATCTGCTAAGAATGGCTTGATGAAGTTCACCAAAGTCTTCCTTTGATTAAGATTTAACTTTGTTCACTCTTCTGGTGTGAGGTACCACTAAAGCCTAACACAGAAAACAGAACATTACCTCCATTCTGCCTCACAGTGGCGCTGTTCATATTTCTGCACTACATCCCCTACTGTCAGATCCGGGTGCAGCCAGTAGATTTCATCCGATTTCAAGTGCTTCAGCAGGAGCCCATAGCAACCCGAAAACGTGATGTTGGGGCCCAACCTCCCACTGCTTAGGATGGAGTTGATGATCTCCTGCAGAAAAACACATTCCATTTCCTAAGGGAATCATTTCAGGTTGACATGTTCAAGAATAACCATCCTGAGTTTCCTGCACAAAAGCACCATAGACAATACTCAATGTTCTTCAGTCTCACGTGCATGCCAAAGTAAATTAGGACAGATAAATTAGGCCTCAGTTTTAATGGGCCACTCTAACAAACCAATTAAGAAAGTGGTACATCCCTGAAAGAAAACACCATACCGAAAAGATAAAAAGAAACTCGTAGACAACCAATTAAGTTGATCATCAGGAAAAAGTATGAAATGGGCTAAAAGAATCATTTTGTTTTGTTTGAAGAGATGAATGTTAATATCAGAAAATGAGTGTATTATCAAATATAAAAGCAGCATCAAGTAAAAAAAAATAAGGAAAAGCAGTGTGCAAAGCAATTTCACTCAAAGCTCAGAGAAAGAAAGCATCAAATGTGTTATATTTTGCTATAACATTAATCACAGTCAGTTTATTTATTCTATTTTTCATGGATTCACATCCCTGTGTGAAAACCTGTCCATACAAAGAAATACTTTTTAGTATCCACTGAATTCATCACAACTGCCAAGCCCCACTTAGTCTTGTTTGTTAAGTGGGGGACTAATTTATCTACAGTACGTCATTCCTAAATTAATGCAAACATATTGTACATCAGTATTCTTTTGCATTTCTTGTTTGTATTTGTTCACGTCTGGGTTTACAATCATCATCAAAGCCTGAAATTCATCTAACATCAACACCCAGACTGCACACTTATTCTGGCTCTAAAATCCTGACTGACTTAATAAACACATGAGCCCGCTTGAGTGAAACATCTCCTCTGTTTTAATTGATAAAGGATAAAATATGCAGTCAGTTATCAGCAACATCACTGATGGTTTTAACATGCACCAAATTCAGTTCTCCATGGGAATATTAGTGCACACCGATCAGATAAATCATTAAGAGCAACATGCTGACATGGCAAGCTTTCTAATCCACCCATCAATTTTATCACAATGTCATCTAGTTCAGGGTTGTGGGAGAGCTGGAGGCACCTTGCCAAGCAACAGCAGACACAGTAGACACAGACATGAACACACTCACACCAGGGCCAATAATTCTTAGACAAAATTTCAGCGACACAGGGAGGTCATACTAACTCCATGCAGATAGCACACCAGATACAGAATCGAACCCAGAGCCCCAGCACTGCGAGACAGCGATGCTAACCACTACACTACCATCTCACCCTCTGTCTCTTGTTACTGTTACAGAAGACTTCCTCTCACCAGTGTCAATCGTAGCCTCTCGTACTGTGAGTCTTTGTCATTTTAAAAATTGGTTCATCGATAATTTCTGAATGCGATCTAATGATAAATTGCAGGTTGTGCAAAAATAATAATATATACAATCTATAAAAACAGTGTAATGTCAACATGAGCTATCAATCATGTTCCTTTTGTAAAAAAAAAAAGCAATTGCTTATATTTTAATTAACGTCTCTGAACAATTGCCTATTTAAATTCTGAGAGGAATACATTTGGATGTTTGAGGTATTCAGCCAGGAACACCATTTAAAATAATTATAAAATGTTAATCAAGAGAAAAACAACACAAATTCTAAACGATATTATTGAGAAAGTTCTAAAAAGGAGAATCTTTCCTTTTGTTGCCTTTGTTGTACGTTTTGGTCTTACAGGCACCAGAATTATTATATATTTTTTACTTTACAATACAAAAAACGTTATTAAATGAAATTTTATAAAAGCAGAAATACAGTAACATTCACAAAAACACATTCTTTATACAGTACTGAAGAAGTGTATAAGTGTACAAAATGGTGGCTCCTTATCGGAAAATGTACTGTAGCTGCTAAAAATAAGAATCCCTAGAGGTTCATGTTGAAAAGCCATATAGTACACTGTTGATTGTATACTACCATGTCCTGGTTATATGCCATATCATATATATCTGAAATACACACAAGAGGGGATTAAAGTACACCTGTGCTATCAGATGAATTGTAAAATTGTAAAAGAATTGTAAAAACTGAAATAAACACCAGAAAAATGTGAGCTAACAGAAACAGTTAACTGTAAATTATAGAGCACCCACGGTATCAATGCTCTCCTGTGTGTCTGCCAAGTTGAAGCGGAGGCTGATGTGTTTGCTTTGTGGGTTCTATCTTGTGTTTTTTAATAGAACAGCTTTTCAGATCTTTGTATCATAGCAGCACACAATCAACCAAAGACAACTATTAAAAATTTCCACTCTCAAAATATTCAAGTGCTTTTAGATAATGTATAGCACATAAAATGCCAAAAAAACATTCTATGCCACTTATTTCACATCCTGTGGTTTTTTGGTCTTCACAAATGCATTGGTTTATAACCCAATTAATGAATTATTATGTTTATTATGACTTATCCTATAAAAGCAAACAATAATTTATGATTGATTACCCCATTAACCGATCACAAAATTCACCTTATTTACACAGTACAAATATATAGACTATTTACTAAGTCCTTATAAATTAATCCATGATTATCTGATGGGGAGTCTAGAATAAGCTGCAGTCATGTCGTGCATTGGACAGTGGCATTTCTTCTTTAAAGAAGTGACTGGATGAGATCCTTAGATTAGAATTAGAATTCTTTATTTTGCCACACAATAGTTGGTGGAATTTGCTTTTGGCACAGAAAGAGAACACAGATGAAACAGACATCCTCCACAGCACATACAATATTAAAACAATGAATATGGATTTGAAATGAACAGATAAGCAAAACACAATCACAATCACATGCATACATTATATTTGGCAAACAGAATAATTAAAGAGATGCTCCCAGGAAGCTACAGAGCTGAAGGATAAGAATTTACAGTTCAGATTACATTGGGAAAGAAGCTAAGGATGAAGCAGGCAGTTCTTGAAAGGAGCAAGACTGCAGGTTCAGCTTGTGTAAAGGGATGAAATGGAAGGGAGTTCACAGCCTATTATTTCTAAGGTTTTGGACATGATCCTTTCCAGTTTTCCTTTTGGATAGCTGTCCAAATACCCGTACAAAACTGTGATGGAACCTGTCAAAATATTTTGAATTATGGCTGTGTAAAACTGACAAAGATGTTGTTGATTCACTTTGTGTTTATTAAGTAGCCTGAGAACATAGATCCTCTGCTGCATTTCCTTAATTATACAATCTGTGTTGGTGCCCCATTAGTTCAATTAAATTAGTACATTAGATCAATTAGTTACTAAAAATCCAATCACCTAAATGAGCCATATGGCCTCCTCTCAATTGTAACCTCATGTTCTAGGAGTTAAGTAGATTCTGATGATGAAGTTTTAATGAGAAAGCGTCTATCTTGTATTAATACAGAAATCTTGATATTACCGACATATATCCTGCCACTTCTTAAGTGAAAGAGGATATCCCAGATATCTTTGCCATTTGTTTCTCAGATGGTATTCAAAAGCAAATTTTGCGAGAAGATATGATACTTACTCTAAGTCAGTTAGACTCACCTTCGAAGCGTGAGTTTTTAGCAATGAATAATGAGGCTTTAAACGAGGTCCATCTTCCTCTGACTAAACATTATGTCTGAGCTAAAAATATTCAAAAAAGGTGTGTTGCAGATTTGACAGTTATGTCTTGATTAATAAAAAGATATCAAGGTGCTGCACCAAAACAAATCTCCTATTTGCTGAAAACCACAGCTTCCCTTAAGCATTGAGCCACATTAGGCTTTTGAGAGACTGTCATTTGGGGTTCCAGGACATGAACCAGAGACTGAAGCAAAATAGGTCTGTCTGCACATTCTACAGTTCTAGAATTAAAAGGTAGGAAATGTTTGATACATCTGTGTCTATGCAGAGCAGTTACGACCACTTAACCAACGATACACAGACCTAAACTGATCTTCCTCGAAATAGAACTGTTCATTTGGAAGACTCCCACCCACACCTAATTTACCTTGAATCCAGAGAATCTGCTGAAGTTCATTTTGCTGAAAACAGTAAAAGGACATTCCCATAAAAAGAAATTGAGAACTTTTGTTCCCTAGTTCAAAATCGTTATTTAAAGATAACATAAAATATATTAAACCTGTTGCTGGTCATTCTGTGCTTAATAAAATGTGTCAAATCTGCATTAATTTAGAAGGGAATTTTCATATCTAAGAGCAAGTGCTTTTAGCTATGATCTATGATCAGGGCAGTAATGTTATATATAATACATGTAGTAGGGCCTTTTTTGGATTACAAATTAAAGAAACAAATGATTTTTGGAGAGGTTAAACATTCATTTTTGAAACATTTTCAATACATTCCATATAATGTATCTCATGGCCTAATTCTTTTTGGATTTGGGTTTACAAATTTGCTTGTCAAATGCTGGACAAATGATTTACCAATCCAGAAGGTCATCAGAGCAGTCAACACCTCTCCTTTGTCAAACATCTTTGCCAAATCCTCTCTATTCATGTCTGAAGGTTTAAGCACATTAAATGTAAAAATGAAGTTTGGGCATTTTGCCATAAAACTCTCCGCTTGCTGTTGAGAGTAAAATGTATGACATAAAATTGCAATAAAACATTACTGATTTTTTACTAGCTTTAAATTAGTACATTTGTATTCTGGGCTGTCAAAGCAGGAGTATACTGTATGTGCTTTATCTCCAAGTTCAGAATATTGTTGCCAAATTGAGTTCTAAGCATTAATATCTCAATTTTATGTGTATTTAAAATACTATTTTCCTTCCTTTACCTATTCTGATGTTTTATATACCCTGAATCAGATTAAATCTTTTTCTGTTAAAAGCAATTCGGTTTCCATTTCCAATTGATTTGGAAGGTTGGGAGTTACACTCTTTCTCCTTAGTGCGCTGATACAATAGTCACACTGACTCATCAGTGAACGGGTGACTGAAAAAAAAGAGAATGTGCAAATGGGTGCAGGAGATGAGGGAAAGAGCCCAAAAAACAGAAAGCTGAGAGACAAATTCCAGGGGAAGTGAGAAAGGCTGAAAACTGTAAATTAATGGAGAGATTTGGGGAAAATAATCAAACTGTGAGAGCTCCACAGCTTAAATGTTGCTTTTATTTCATCTTCAGCATGGAATGAACCTCCTTCCCTTGTGGCCCACACGCCACTGCAGCTCCCCACTCAAACCTCCAAGTACATGAATATTTCTTCCTGCCTTAGTCTGTTTTCTTATTAGGATCTATATATCACTAAAAGATTTAGGCGGAGCAGGTGCTAAGCCACACTGCAGTATCTTATAGCAGAGCTGCAAAATGTGTCATTGTAAAAAATGAAATGAAGTCAATGCAATTTCAATTTGAAGAGGGAACCTACTGCTCATCAGGTTTTGAAAATTCAGTGTGCATCCCAACTGTATTTTTAATACCACCTTTCCTATTGGGTCACATACTAGGTACCTACAGTACTGCTTGATTCAGCTCAGGGGCACTCACCTTGACTTCCCAGGAACTGTCACATTTAACCAGTTTGAAGTTCTTGCCCAGGTTGAAACTGTTGCTGGTGAAGCAGACCTTGATGATTTTGTCTCCCACACTCAGGGTGTCGTTGGTTCGTTCAGACAGGCCCGAGGGCTCCCCCTTTCCTGTGCTTCCCAATGTCCAGGACAGGGTTCTGCTGTCGCCTGACATTTCCACACCCTGTTCACTTCAGCAGCACCACCATCACAGCATCCACTGAGATCATAGAGAGAAGCACATGGTCAGGTTACTGTATACGACTGGCTGATCTGTGGCCACAGAAGACCAGAGCTCAGGAATGCTACAACAGCTCCATCAGAATATTCCACAACGGATTCATCTGAACGAAAGTCTCATGGGGGAGTCTGGTCTATTTTTGAGTTCATGGAGGTTTCACCTCCCTCTGCTCTATAGTAGAAATTGATCAATCACAGTATTAAAACACCAATACATTGGAAAGCATATGCATTAGAAAACCAAAGTGGAATATGCCTTTTTTTGCTGTGGACGAATGACATATGCATTTCAGATCAAAGATTGCCATTTTAGAGCAGTGTCATTTTTTGTATTCATTCCTCTCATTTCCGGTGAGCATTAGTATTGGGACAAATGGTTGACAGATGTTTCTAATTGCTCAGGTGTTCCATGCTGCATCAATCGTAAAAACATTTTAAAAAGCTGTGAATATAGCTGCAGTCTTTGGGGTTTACTTTTTAGGTCTACCTAAGATGGACAAGCAGGCAATTGTGAAGATGTGGGATGTAATGTATTTAGGAGATAATAAGTCAGGAGCTAGAAACTCAACTGCCTCCTGGTAAACATACAGTAGCGGTGGAGCCAACAAAGAGAGGCACCAACAGCATAGCATACTCAAAGCAATGGTTTATGTGGGTCAACAGAATGTTGTGATAGACAGTATCACAAGATTCACTTACAGTCAATCCAAAAGGTAAAGAATATTAAGTGACTAGAAGTCAAAGGCTATCATTAAGTCTTTGATTCCTTTAATAGTGGCTGTTTAAGCACAGTACCTCTGTCGCAATTCCAAGTGAAAAGGTTCAAAGAGCTCAATATATATATAAAATGAAATTGTGACTAAGCGTGCTAAGGTTTTTTCAACAGCAGCATCGACAAGATGAGCCACACGTGTGTGGAAGCCCTTGTTTTCAATAAACTTGGGAGTTCCTCATTTACCAAGATGTTTCCATCTTTTTTTGTCCGCTACTTTGAGAAATGCTGTCCCTTTCTCTGGAGGAACAAGACATTTTCTTAGCCCCAGGGAAAGCATTTTTTTCTTTTATCCTGCTACGGTTGTATGCCTGGAATTCACTCTCTGGGTGTGGCCACTCTGCACTACGTCCGTAAGGGAGGCAGAACAGAAGAACAGGTACAGGATCTTATCTTGAAAATTGTTTCCTAGGGACATTACTTGGAGGGTGCCTTACTGTTGTCCTCTGAAAGTAGAGGCTGAGAGATTTAAAAAAAAAACGTTTTTAGCCAAGTCAAATTTCAGATCTTACAGGAAAGACAGAGGGTCATGTCTAAGAAAATGCCTACACACATACTGTATCTGGAAATAAAAAAACCTCCTACACCTTAGTTCCTGTAAAAAATACAGGTTTATTTGTAGGTTGCTGCTTTTTGTGTTGTTCAAAATGTGTCATTTTCTGATTGGAACAAGGTTTCTAGAGTCAAACAAAAAACGTTTCAAATAATCTTCTTAGTGTTAAGGTGAGGATGCATTAAAAGTAATAATGTTCTGTAAAAAAGATATCTGTATTTTTTTTTAAATAACAGAAGATTTTGACATTTTCAATCATTGATAACGACTGACTGGTTGGCTTGGCAGAGGAGTTGCATAATACAATTTCTTTTTCAGAGTTGGTACTGATGATAATATAATTGTACTGTTAGTGCACATTAATAGCTTAAGCCAGCAGCCATTTCACCCTGCAATTTACAATTGGCAGCCCACTGAAGCTAAGCAGGTGTGAGCCTGGTCAGTACCTGGATGGGAGACCTCCTGGGAAAAACTAAGGTCGCTGCTGGAAGAGGTGTTAGTGGGGCCAGCAGGGGGTCGCAGTTAATGGCAATGTCAGCTCAAAGATTTGGCTCAAATGGAGATGGGCGTGCCAACAAGCGGATCCTGCTGATGCGGGATTAACACTAGGATGAGAGAGTGCACAATAATAGCTTATCTTAAAATAGTCTAATATCTGATAATTCATTGATTTTCATTTTATTCAGGAAACAATATATCAGGATATATCAGACTGACAGATTAAAACAGATTAAAAAGTATAATTAAGAAAATCAATGGCACGGTTCAGCCTCATTTATATTACCTAAGAAAATAAACAAGTATTCTTACCTCGGCTTTAGTTTTGCTAATAGTTTTTGTTTTCTTGTGCCACTGAAATCAAACAACAAACCTTTATAAAGGAAGTTGCTTCATTGCAACATAGGTTGTTATACAACATTTTTTGTCCTACTGTTGTCTTCCTGAGTGACCCAGTAAGATTACAAAATAGTTCACATCAGTTATACCGACACCTTACTTTACAAATACTTCACTTTATAGTATACAGTTCAAGATTTCTCCTTCTGGAGTGTGATCTTACATCAAAGGCAAGAAGTAGCTCTTTCAGAATATAAGAGAGGTTACAGAGAGTTCCATTTAGTAATTGTTTTTTTTAAGTGGGAGGTGAGGCGATTTATGTAAACACCTCTTAAATATTTACATTTTTTGTATGTACTTCTGTTCCATTTACTAGGTTAAAATAAAAAGTGCCCATGACATTCAGACATTTTATAATACCTGCAAGCATCATTGCTTCTTGGTCTATACATTATCCGCCTGTTTAAAAAATAAGATAATGTTAACTATACTTGTCAAATTTAAAATTCTTCTTTGTATGGAAAAATTCCAACTGGTTTGAAGTGAAAAGTCAAACTTATACTGTAGATTACAGAATGCACATGACCAGAATCAAGGTCTGTATTCCCTGCTGCTCACAATAAGAGCAGCAGAGAAGGCACCTTCTTACTAGTTAAAAGGTAGTTTCTTTTGTGGTGCCTCATAGGTATCCAGCTACAGTATAACAATGCTAGGTAACCTGATCAAGTGTTTACAGCAGAGCAAGACTGAACCAGGCAGATAGGAGTCATGATATATACAGATGCTTTAAATACAGGATCTGCCCTGAGGTGATAAATGTCTTTGTTCAAAGCAAAGCCAGGACAAACAGCAGGATTTTAAAGCTTCTCATTGCACAACCATTATCCAGTTACTGAATCACTAACCTTATCAGATACTGTAGTTTAAGAGGAGACTTATAGTTTTTTTTTTAATTTCTACAAATGCCAAGCACATCAAAGCATTTTCCTTTTCAAATTTTTGGAGGATGCTCATTTTTTCAAGTCTCAAAATAGTAAAATGTTGTTATGTTGCTCATCATTATTCAGCTGCTTCTTTCATCCATAAACCTTTTTCCGGTGAATTTGTATTTCACTGTGATGATAACGTACTGTGAAAAATAAATCAACACAAGGAATGAAGGACAAATGTATATGTAAACCATGTAATAAGCAATGGTTAATTTAACATTTGTATTAAAGTGGAGAATTACAATTATTTCCCACATTAACAAAATTAACTCTAAATAAAAAAGATCATCATTGTTCAGGAAAGACGTCCCTGATTTGAAATACTTCTTCTGAATAACTATGAGATTTGACAGCATGGATTTTCCTAGTGCTTCTGATTCCCCCACAAACACTGTTTCTGCAATGCATGCATGTTAGCACATGTGTTACTATAGTAGCCTTGTTCTGCACTCTGAGCACCTATAGCTGCCAAACAGGACAGGCAGGAGATAAAAAAGAACTGTGGAGAGCTTCAAACTGAATTTTATGCCACAGAATATTTTTTTATAATACTAAGCAACAAGCGATAGGGCAATATTTCAATAAAGAATTAGTACTTGGAAGAATAAGTTAATGAACTACCTAGAGTGAAAGCCCCCCAGTCTAAGCTAAGGAGACATACTGTATATGAAGAACAAAACCTTTACTCTGATTACAATGTAAATAACTAAGTCGAGAATGGTACTGTATGTTATGGAAGACAAAATGACGTACTGTACAATTAAAATTAGCCTGGAACTGTTCAAAATATTTTAGTAAAAAGCCTTTTGTTTGATGATATAAATCCTGAATGCGTTATTTAAATACAAAAATGCAAGCCAAACACAGGGGTGTGATACATTTCTTGCTGTGACTGCACTTCTTCACCTGCTGTTTATGAAGAGATGGCAAAAGATGAACATAGTTAATCCAATTTAGGAGAGAAAAAGCCTTTCACTTAATATTGATGTAACAAATGTCCAGTATGACACTTCATGTGTTTGATATTACAGTTACTGATAAAGCATCTCTAAAGAGTCCAAAAACACACTAACTTTTGCTCCATTTTCTATAAACATCTAAGCATCTGATGTTTGGAATGGGCAGTCAATACACAGTTTCTACAATTTAAAGAAATAATTAGCATTCCTTTAGTTTTCTATAACACCCAATTTTTACATACCTTAAAAGTATTTTGTATTGCCATCCCTACCCTACCATACTTTATTACTTTTTATTGCAAAAATAATAAAATAAAATGCACAGTCCATCAATCCATCTTTTATAGTTACTCAATAAATAAAATTCTATATTTAAGTAAGAACATTTGAATAATTTTCAAAAATTCCTTCAACTTATACTGTTCTTATCAGGTGACCAGTAATGCACCTGAGATATCAACAAGAAAATGTACAGAAAAAGTGTGTTGTATCAAATTCCTAAACCCTATGTGACTGAAAAAAAAAATCAAACTCCTATTTGAACAATTATTTAATTAGACAAAGCCAGTGAGTATACGGCACCCAATATCTCAGCTGAACAATCCTGAAACTGACGAACGAGTAAGGCCACAGTTTACAATGCTAAAAAGAGCTTTAAAAATAAATCTAAGCCATAATGTAAGACATGACAACCTAAAACTGTACATGAAAACAAAACTACAGTACATACGCAGTCTCACACTAAATATATACTGTACCTCACACCGTAAATAAATAATTGTACGATTTTAAGACCTGTAAGGTTGGACAACAGACAACCTCAAAGCAATAGATTATTTGAGAAATTAAAAGATTTCATGGTGAACATAC